GGGGGCGGACTTGAAGAAGGGCAGCTGTTCCTGTTCACGGATGTGGGACCACACCTAACAGGGCTATTTTTTCTTAACGTCTTTATTGATTTCTGAGAGAGGAAGGGAAAGGGAGAGACATCAATCAGCTGCCTCCTGCACCCTCTCCCCACCCCGCCCCCATTGAGTATCAAGCCTGAAACCCAGGCATGTGCCCTGACCAGGAATGGAACCGTGACCTCCTGGTTCATGGGTGGATGCTCAAGCACTGAGCCACACTGGGCGGGCCTAACCGTTCTGTCTTAACGACCACTTTCACAATTCCTACAGGAATCTGAATCCACACGGAATGATAACCGGTGGTTATAAATGTATTGGTTTTTTAGGTCAGGCCTTACAGAAAAGATCAAAGGAAAAGAATTGGAGGCCGAACATCATACAATTCAGCGTGTGATGGTAACGGCACTTCCAGTCCACGGGAGAGAACGGGGGACAGAGTAACCTCACTGGAGTCAGCGTCTGTACGAGCACCGAGAGGAAATAGTGGCAAATACGAGGCCTCCTGAGGGGGATGCATCTCCAAGCCTCACACGGAAGCCCTAAGGAGAAGTGTGTTGATTTGATTTCATACAGACTCGCAACTACTCTGTGTAAAAACACTTTCTGTGAACAGCAAACTGGAAAAAATATCTGAAATACATACAACAAAGTTAACGTCCTCATTTGTAGAGAGTTCTTTGGGAAAGGTATGAAATGCGTTGGATGAACATTCAGGAAGTAAAACTCTCCAAGTGCATGTGCGGTTGTCGGGGGCAGCGGTCCCTCATGCTCCCGGGCGCCTACCCTGCTCGGGGAGCAGCACCTGGAGTTTCTGGTTCATCCCTGCTGCCCTGTCCCCGGGGCCAGGAGCCCCCACGTGATGTAGGCCCATCCACTCCGCAGGTTTGCAGCGATTGGCTCAAAGATGGGCATGTGACCCACGTTGGTCCCTGACTTGACTGGAGCGACCAGGAAAAGAACTGATTTCTCTCTCTGCCGTATTTGTCCTTCTATGGCGAGAAGCCTGGCATCGCCGGGGCCCGTCGCGTGAAACCCCAGCGTGAAGCGACCCAGAAGGTGGAGGTGAGGAGAGAAAGACCTGGTTTCAGAATGACCTTCTAGGCCGCGGTTATGACGGCTTTTTTTTTTTCATTCCTGCACATTTATGACCTTCTAGGCCGCGGTTATGACGGCTTTTTTTTTATTCCTGCACATTCCATTGGTGAGCCCGTAAATCCTCTTCCTGGTGAGGAGAACCGAAAAAGTCCCAGCTCCGACAAGCACATACGTGCACGTGTGTGTACACGGAGAACAGAAAAGGGACCAGTGCCGTGCCCGCCCCTCATGAACAGCAGAAACTTAAAACGCAGAGAGCGGGACGTGGTTGTCACTTGAACTAAAACCTCCCAGCGGGGACCGTGTTCTGGGAAATGCTTCAGTGAAAAGCACGCCGCGCGTGTAGTTTCCCTGCAGGGCAATTAGTCACCGGCCTGCACTTGGCGCGGTTCCCCTTCCTGCAGTCTCAGGGCGCGCAGAGACTTGGCTACAAAACGTTCATTACGATGTTGCTTAAAGTAGCAAAACGCCTGCAAACAGCCACCTTGTGCAATTAGAAGGCATTGATTACATTGGGTGGGTGCTATGTAGCTATTCAGACGGCGCTGTCGGAGCAGGGTTCTGGGCGGGAAACGCCTGGCTGATGTATTGCTCTATTCGTTTCCTCTGCCGTGTAACATTACAGCTCCAGGAACTCGCGCAACACCCATAAATCAGCTCTCAGGTCTGCGGGCCCCGGGTGGGCACGGCACATCCGGTTCTCTGCTCAGGGTCTTGCAAAACGGAGATCGCACCCGGGCTCCTTCCAGCCCCTGCGGTTGTGGGGAGTCTAGTTTTTTTAAGGTGAGGGTTTGAGGTGCCCATTACCTGCTGGCTGTCAGCCCGGGGGCCGGGGGTGCTGCCCCCAGCCTTTGGATCCTCCAGCGTCCTTTCCAAGGTGCCCCGTCATCCCCAAAGCCACCAGCAGGGACTCGCCCTGACATCCAATCCCTTCCACGCTTTGACATCAGGAAATGCGGGTCCCTTGAAAGGGACCATTTTATTGGGTGAGACTCATCCTGCCTTAAGGGCAACTCATCTGGGAATGTAATCACCTCAGCAGATGCCTTTCCCAGGGGCACTGGCCGGATGTGTGTTTCATTCAATAAGGGAGAAGGCATCAGGCAGGGGGCAGGCCCCGAGGGGGGCGGGTTAGCGCTTTCCCACCACAATGATTAAGTAAAAAAAGCCAATTACTATATATATATGTATGTATATAATTAAAATAAAGTGTTCCTATTTTTGTAACGACAACCACAAACCCCACAGAATGAAAATCAAAAAAACCCCGTGTCCATGCGGCAGTTACAGAAGCAGGGTGAAGAGTTCGCACCGCCTTCCGGGCCTCGGCGTCCCCCCTGTAACGGGGAGCACACCCCGTCTTGCTGGTGGGACTCTGCCGAGTGCCTGGGACAGGGCCGCACGCGGTGAGCACCCGGGAGCACGGCTGCGTGTAAAGTCGGGAGACCCGAAATCAAGAATTCCCAGCGCCTTATCTCGGGGCAGGGGGTTCGCTGTGGTTTCTGGGCTCCGTCCTGTTCACTGTTGGTGCTAAACAGGCCGGTTATGCAATAAAGTTAGTTAACAATTTACGAGAGGAAGCGTGGCTACTGCGCAGGGCTTTCCGGGAGCCGTTAGGACACCTTCCCCTCCGTCTGGCCGCCTAGAGACGCCGAGCCTCGGGGTGAGGAGGACCATCTTCGGGGGAACTGGCCCGCCCAGCCCTCAGGACAGAAGGACATCAGAGCCCGGGTTCCTGCCCAGAGCGAGAAAGTCCCCTGGGTCTGGACGCCTCCTCCTGACGCAACCTGAGAAGGACTCGTTCCTTTCACACCCACGGGTTGTTTTTTTAATTAATTTTTTTTATATTTGGTTGCTCTCAAGGGCTGTGAGTGAGAGCCAGGATTTGGAAACCACAGCTCTGCACAGACC